TGAGATATATAGTCTATGAAAATGCGAGATATATAGTTCTTGTAGACGGGAGGATTGAAATTGGCCAATCTGGAGGGTCCCTTATTTATTGGATGAGGTGGTTTGGCCACATCATCCTTTCACATGAACCACATCATCCTTTCACATGGGATGATGTGGAGGGTCCCCCTATTGTGGGCTATGCACTTTTTGGCAGGTGTGGGACATTATGTTTAGTCCTATAGCCTGTAAAACAGTTATCAAGTTCAGCTAATCCTTTCTCAAGTGAGCTACCCTATATACAACAATCCCCTCACCCACTTTGCCGCTAGAGAGACATTGTGATCAACCTAATTCTCGTTGAATAGGGGGCTGAAGCCTGATTGGACTGACCACATTGTTCAATTTGAACTCTCATATTTAAAACGACTAAGAAGTCAAATTGGGTTCAATGATTTTTATCAAATGATTCAGGTGATCCATGCATGCCATGTTTCATGAAAATGGATAAGTGACTAAGTAATCTTGTTGGATAAAAGTCTTGGTAGTTCATTTCTGATATTAAAACAATCTCATAGTTCATGCACAATAACTATGGTGTTCATTTCTCTTCCACTTCCTTAAGGACCTCAACTATCAATTTATGTTCTTTTCAGTCTCAGCCTCCTAATATCAAAAAAAAAAGGAGTGGTATTTACTGTAATGGGCAGTGCATTCTATCTCTGCAAAATAGCCTCCTCCCAATCTCTATTTCCCATAACCAATTTTTCTTCAAGATCTTATTTTTAAACTCTAAGCGGAACATTTATCAACTAGGCATATATGGAAACTGGCACTCTTTCATCAGTGTTTTGATAATTAAAACAGACCAAAGTTTTTGCGCTTTTTCTAGCACAAATCATATCAAATTTCAAAACAACAATTGGTTTAGAGCAGAAACTTGAAGACATATACATGGGCAACCAAATTAAAATAGCATTTTTTTCTTGGAAGTTGGGATAATCTTCGTTCAAACATCAACTGTGGTCTGAATCCACCATAACAAAACAAATTAGAACGATTCGAACAAACACCCCCTATTGTTTTCCATATGTATTCTTATTTCGCATTCTAAATCAACCCTTTTTTAATATCACCCTTGTTACATATATGCAATTTCATTGAAGATCTGTTTTGAACTTTTGAATCATGCTTGAATGAAAGTTGAACATCAATGGTGAGAGAGCCTTTTCCTGTTATATGCCAACCTCTTGGGCCATGGTATCTTCAACATCAATGGTGATATATACATGGAGATTTTAGTGGAAAATGGACAATCTAGAGCTTATCAGTAGCTTCTCTTCTCCTATTTAATTATTGGCAAGGAAGACTGTATATTGATTTAATGTTCAGCTTGACCACCTAATGAGAATCATCTAGCTCTATTGCCATCGATCTAGAAGGGTTTCATTCATTCATTCTACTTCGTTAATTAGACACCAATAGGAAGTAGCCAGCTCTGGGGTTTGCTTGAGATCCAGAATCTATTGGGTTTCTTGTTTCAGATTCCTAGCTCCTTGCTGTGTAGTCCTTAAGAACCTCCTCTAAGAGAGGACTCATCCAGTCAATTCACTTTCTAAAGAGCTTAGGTATAGGAATACAAAAAAAGTTCTAGATGAGAAGAGTCAGAAAAGAAAGTTGGACAAAATGTGATTTCTGCAAGTCTCAAAGCAGGGAAAATTGGTGCTTCATCTTGAGCTGAATAGATGATACAAAGACAAGAAAGTGAGAAACCAGAATAACTTGGAGGTGAAACCTCACTGCCACGAAGGTTCAGTAGTACTGCAAATTATAGCATTGATCTTGAATTTTAAGGTGAATTTGGAGGTTTAAAATCCTTCAAATTTTTATTCCATCCTCTGTTATTTATTTTGGGTAGTTTGATGGCTGTATAGCGGAGGGATTCTTTAGAGCCCAATTTAATGAATTTTGATTTTTGAGGGGGTGGGGGAGGTTTATAAGGGTATCGTAGTCATTTTGATTTTTGAACACTGCATTAACTATAAAGGGTTGTTTGATAACAGTTGAAGTAGCTGATTTGAATGACTTATTGCTTTGTCCTTTACACCTCAAACACCCTTTGAGGATTTCCACTAATCAAAATAGTTGGACTTCCCGGGTGCTAGCAAAGCTTTACAACCATAGATTTTTTCAAGGCTCCTAAAATCTTGGATAGGCTTTTGAATACTACCCAAACTCAATAGAACTTCATGGGTGCCTACCAAACTTGACCTAGTAGATCTTCAAAGCCTCTACCAAACCCTAATAGGTGTTCAACTTAGAACACCTCTTGCACTCAGAGATATTACAAGTGAAGCACAATACAACATGGCACAAAACCTCGCAAATAGGTAGCACAAAAACAGTGTAACTAAAAATGCTCAGCTTAATGAAGAGACATTCAATATATGTGTGAAACTGTATGAACCCTTATGGCTTCTTAGCTCTACTCACCTCTAAAAACTATTGGAGCTCATAAATCTTTTCAAAGAAGGACTCTTGATAACTTGTTTTCTACAAAAACAACTAAAGACTGTGCATTAATAGCTTTAGTTGTTTTCTTTCCCTTTTTCTTGTTTGTTTGAATCATGCTAATGACCTTTATTTATGGAGGTTTGGAGAGCAAGTGATCATTTTTTAGCTGTTGGAGGTGTCTTGCCAAACATAGTAATGATTAAAAAAACCTTCAATATGATAGAAGGCTTGCCAAAGATAGAAATAGTCATTTAAGCCTTTAAATGGTTCAATTTCTTCGAAGTAGTTGACTACTACTTTCTAATTCTAGTAGGCATCTACTAGACAAAGGAAGAAATCTTTTTTTTCTCTCATTTGGTTGGCTAATAATATGACTTGTTATCACAATTAATAGTCAGGTAGTCAACTATACTGTAAAGCTTGGACAATTTATGCCTTATTGACAACCCAACACTTAGAAATCTTAGAAATATTTATTTAAAAGTTCAAGAATTCTTCCTTTTTCCTTCAATATTGATTTTGAAGACTTTAAAAACTTATTTTAAGTCCAAGAAATCCTAGGAGCCAAACCTAATTTTAACGGTTGGTCTTTAAGGTTGACTAAACCGAGTTTGGTCTTGTTGAATATTACAAAAAGTGCACCTCAAGCAACTGATTACATCAAGAACTTAAAGATATGACTCTTTTAAACACAACTTGATGTCATCGTCCTCCTTGTTAAGTTGTAGTAGAATTGAAATTCTTGAACAACTTTAAAGCCTTTGAATTCCTTTTGTGGCCTTTTCATACTTGAATTTGATTAGAGCATCACCAACTAAGAGATTGGAGATGGTATTTGAAATATGAAACTCAGGCAGCTGAATCAAACAATGCTTTCATTTCTTCATCTTCAGTAGCAATTTTGCTTAACACAATTATACCTTAGAGAAACTTACTTAAGTTTACTACACACTTACACACTGTTAATACTTTAAATAAGTTTATTATCATCAAAACACATAGGGGCAATAGAAATCCTTTTGTCTTCTCTTTTATTGTATATCTAAAACCCGAGTTCTAAACCTTTCCTATCTTCTTTCTCAAAATTCAAGGACCATAGCATTACATCAACACCTTGGAAAGCAAAGTGACACTCCCCAAGAGACACCACACTTTAACAATGTCCATTTTCATCATTTTTCCTATTTTCTTCTATCACCTAACCAATTTTGAATGGGCATATTCATAAATTTACCCTTAAAGTCAAGCCCATTAACATTGACCTGTAAACGGAGCGAATTCGAATCAAATCAGTCTATATTCGAATTCGAATTCGATTACAAAGTATGTTATTCAAATCTGGTTAAATAACCACTAATATTCAAAACTATCAACCGAATTCAAAATCGATTAAAGCATCGAATATTTGAATTGAATTTGAATTCGTCCAATTATTTTTCTTCAAAACCCCAATATAGCCACCCTGTGGCGTTGATGTTGTTCATTGCAAGAAAATACCCATGTCCGCACCAAAACATTGAACACAAGAAAGAAAAAAGAAAACAAGGTAAAACTAAAAAACCTAAAAAACAATATGATATATTATTAGGGTAAGGTGGAGATATGTTGAGGGTGATGTTGAATGCGTTGGGATGGATCCCTGTTGCTCTTCTTGAGTATGGATGGCAGATCACAGCTCCGGTGAAAAGAAAAAGAGAGAAAAAAAAAACTATAGAGAAAATCTTACACATGGATAACAACTCGTAGCTCCAGGCCTTTGATGAATGGGATTGGGGATTGTAAGTTTAAATTGATATATTATATTGTATTTATTATTAATATATTAAATTTATATAATAATAAAATTTGAATATTAATCGAATCGAATCAATATTAATCCATATTCAATTCAATAAAATAATCGGTATTGACATAAAAATTCAAATTCGACCATTAAACTTATTAAATCATCTGAATTCGATTCGATTATATCCAATATCAAATTCAAAATTGAATAATTGAATACCGTTTACACCCCTAATTAACATGATGGTAGTAGAGTGTTGAAACTTGAAAGTAGAGGGTAGATCTTATGGCAAATTAAAGTTTGAGGAGTAAGTGTCACTACCCTCAAATTAAGGGTAGAGATGTAATTAACTCAAGCTTTAATTGAACCATTTGGGCTTGAGGCTTATTTCGAGTTCAATACTAATCAATAGTTTGAATTAATCATATAATTTGCAGCCGGAACAAAAATTAGAAATTTTGATCTTCAACTTGAGGCTTATACGAGTATTTTAGTCCAACTTAGTCAAGACAGGTCGAAGTTTGGCTCGACTCAGTTCTATTGCACCCCTCACGTATTGTATTTTTCCAGCAATAAGTCATTCAGTTCGGCTATTTCAGTTGTGTAAGTTTTTTCCAACAAGGATCGTTTTTCAGTTAATAGAAAAGTCAAGGTGTCAACAAGTAATTAGTTGTTACTCGGGGGAGATTTAAGTATTTATAGGATACAATTCAATAAACGTAAAAACGAAAAACTCAGAAACAGAAACAGATACCGGATTCGTTTCTTCCATTTCTTTGAGTTTTCAAAGGGAGGCGAAGGGGGTTGGTCGTTGCTTCCTTCACCTCGAAGATGAACGGCGGCCCATCTGGTTTCTGTACGTATTTCTTCCTCCCAAATTTTCACAAGAGATCGGAAGAAACAAAGAATCCCATCTTTGCAATCATAGATCCTTTACTAGATTTTCTTTTCGTTGCACATTTTAATGAAAACTTATATTTTTTCCCTCACAGACAATGCTCCTGTCACAAAAACATTCGTTATTGCGTGTGCCCTCTTCACGATCTTCCTTGGGATTCAAGGCCGTTCGTCGACGCTCGGATTATCGTATCAGGTACTGTAGTTTCCATTGACCTATTATACTCCTTTTTGCTTTATTTTGACACTATTTTTCGTTAAAGTGACGATGAATTATCACAGTGCACATGTAATTTGAAGTGGGTCTTTCTGTTTCCTTTCGGGAATCCCTTGAATCGAGATTGGAGATCTTTTTCCCACTTTTTGTTTTCTTCTCCGTTTTCCCGGTTTCTTGTTCTTCAGTTTTATCTGTTTTTGCACGTGAATTTCCTCAATGTTTTGTCTTTTTTTTTCAGGTTTTTGATGGTTAAGTGGAAATTGTTTGTGTTTTGTGATGTGGGTATTGAATTAAGTTCTGAGCTCCTATGATCAGGCTCAATTTAGGTGCATTGTATTGGGTATAATGATGGAGATGTTCCCTTTTTTATTTTTTCCATTTCAGTAAGAATAGACCGGAAATAATATTTGAATTGCAACTCTTTGTTTCTTTTCTTTTTTAGTTCCTTTAGACTAAATTTCAAGTTTTTCCTTATGACCTTGTGGTTTTCTGTTGTATACACATTCTTATTGATTTGCTGGTCGATTCATCTATTGCTTGTTTAAATCATAACGGGTCTTTGCCTCTGGTAGTGTTTATGATCCTGCTTTCTTAAATCAACAGATAGATATGAGGATAATTTACTTGAATGTATGATACCATCTTCTTATTTCCATTCTTTTCAATGGGTTTATATGACATTTGACAACCTATTCATTTCTTTGCTGCCATATCCCCTGATTCAGTGAATTGGTTATTTCCTTTTATACATCTAGTTAGTGTTGTTGGGATGTTGGGGATGAGATTTGACACTCCTGGGGGTTTCTTCAAGAGCTCTAGTATCTTCAGAAAGCTATGCAATTATACATTAATCTTCACTTATCACATGAATTTAGCTGCTTAGTGAAACAGTCTATGCCCACTGACTTGAAAGATATTTTTCTTTTTCTTTCTGTTTTTAAATCAGAAACTTGACTGTTGCAACTAAAAGAGCAACTCAGCATCTTTTCCTTACTCAAGGAGCTTTCTAAAAAAACTGTTTCTAGGAGGCAATGACCTAACATCCCAATTATACCTGAATTGTGTCATGGTAGCAGTGTTTCCAAAACAGTGAGTCTATGACTAGTACAAACCATGATCTATGTCAATGAAAATTGACCTGACTAGGAGTCACTTGAGTCCATCACTTGACTTGGAAGAGTCATATTGATAGGAATCGATCAGCACCCTTGAAGACTTATTCTAGAAAGAAGAAGGTCTTACAGCATGTCCTGATATGGCACAGTGATGGTACTTTGGATTTGGACTAAATTGAACACCAAGGGTATTTTTGTCATTTTGGAAATTTTCTGTGGGGTCCAATGATAGGGTTTAATTTGTCTAGTTGTAGTTTGTTTATATTTAAAATTTCAGAGTGGTTGCATAAGTAGGATTAGAGTTAATGAGTCTTCTTTGAATTGATATAGGACATAACAGCTTAGTTTGAATCCTACTAGGATTATTAAGTCTAACAGTTTGACTCCTAAGACTATTATGAGTCTAACAGTTTGACTCCTAGATTATTATGAGTTTAGAGTCTATAAATATGTATGGACGTTTTACACAAAGGCAATGAATTATATTGAGTTTTTTTCTTCAACTTATGTTAGCTATGGTGAGTGATTCTCATGCCCTAGAGTGATCCTAGGCACCCTGTGAGTGATTCCAGGTATTTTCTCTCTTCTTTCTCTCCCTATTTTCTCTCCTATTCCTTCAAGAAGCCATTATAGCCATCAACAACCATAAATTCTGATCCAAGAAGACCATTCAACATTCTCTAAGGACTAGAACTGAGCTGGTCCTATATCAGTTTGGTACCAGAGCCAAGGTTATAGGCTGTTATCATCATGTCTACACGTAGTGGCAAGCATTACAGGGGTCGGCTGACTGATACACAAAGAGATTCATTGATTTCTACCCTTTGCAAGAGAGTTGAAGTCTAGCAAGAAGATAAAGAAGCAGAAGTCTAGCAAGAAGCACCTCTAATCAATGAAAGGGATGGAGGATGAAACAATGTAGCTGTCCATGAAGATGATAATGGTGAAAATGAAGGATCTGTTAATTTTAGAGGATGGCAAAGAGCTGCAAACTGCACAAGGGTACTGCCTGCACAAGCTAATCGAATCCGAAATACCCATCAAGGGATTGATCAAGAAGCATCACTCACAGATCTATTTGATGAGATGATGGAACAAGCTGAACATGGTGGTTATGCAAATGATATAACCAAGAAGGCAAAGATGGATGTTTATGATTTCAATGGAGATTTAAACCCTCAATCTTTTTTAGATTGGCTGGCTGCACCAGAGGAATATTTTGACTGGTATGACATGACTGATGATTGGAGGATCAGATTTGCACGTGTGAAGCTTGGTGATCATGCTAAAGTATGGTGGAGAAGCATGGAACGACAATTGGAGAATAGAGGTGATGGTCCTATGTCTACATGGTCAGAAATGAAGAATCATTTGAGAGACAAGTACCTCCTAATGGACTTCTAAGATGAGTTGTATGAGGAATTGACTAACCTCAAGCAAGGTATGCTATCTGTAGTTGAATACATGCGTAAATTTGATGACTTATCTATTAGATTTGATACTACTGAAAGTGAGAGGCAAAAGTTGGCTTGATTCAAGAATGGACAACAGGCTGAAATTAAGAAAGAGATGGTAACTGCTCGAGTCTTTGACTTAGAGGATGCCTACCAAGTTGCTGTTAAAATTGAGAAGAGTTTAAAGCAAACAAATACAAGGCAATTTGTATCACAAACCGGGGAATATGCAGCTCGTAAGCAAGCTGATGGGGGAAAGACTTCTAGGCCAACGTATTCTAATAAGCTTAGTGGGTCTAGACCTTATCAAGGGGCTGACTATAAGAGTAAATTGCTAGTGGTATTACTCAGAAAAAACAGCCTGGTACTAGTTGTTTTAGATGTGGAGGAAAGGGCCATATGGCTTACCAATGTCCTACCAAAAGCCTTAATATCATTTATGAAGATGGCATTGAAGTGGTAGGTGACCTGGGTGATGATTTAGCTGAAGAAGAGGATTATTCCTTCACCAATGGTGATGCTTTAGATGAAGACATCAACTATGTTAGTGTTGTTTGGCGTATTCTTACATCCCCAAAGGAGGAAATCAAGGAAGATTGGCTTCATACAACAATATTTCAAACTATAGTAAAGAGTGGGGACAAGTATTGTAATCTCATCATAGATGGTGGCAGTAGTATGAATGTGATTTCTGAAGTCACTGTGGATCGGCTAAAGTTGACACCACAACTATACAAGATTGCTTAGGTTGATATGACAACAATTCCGGTAACTCAATGAGCCCTTGTGACTATTTCTTATGGTAGTTATTCTGATTCTATTTGGTGTGACATTGTTCCTATGAATGTTACACACATATTGCTTGGAGGGCTTGGTTTTATGATAGGGATATCTACCATTGTGGAAGGGAGAACACCTATCACTTTCTATTTGATGGGAAGCAAGTTATCATGAACCCAATGTCACCAGAAGTTATTAAAAGACATGGCAAACCACCTCAAAAGGAGACTACAGCCCAAGGACCCATTGTTGAATCTAAGAAAAAACCATTGCATTTGCTCTCCAAAAAAGAGTTTGAAGTAGAAAGCAAGGAGACAGGAGTTGTATATGTTGTAATATACTAATATCCAAGGAGGTAAAGCAACCAGATGTTGTTCCACTTACTAAAATGCCTAAAGAAGTGGTCCAAGTGTTGGATGAGTTTTCAGATTTGGTGCCAGAAGAGCTATCTAATGAGTTACCGCCCATGAGAGACATTCAACTTGCTATTGACTTGCAGCCAGGGTCACAATTGCCCAACTTACCAGCTTATCGTATGAATCCTATAGAGCAAGCTGAACTTAAATGACAAGTTGATGACCTCCTAAAGAAAGGTTTTATTAGAGAAAGCCTTAGTCCATGTGCTGTTCCAGCTCTTCTCACTCCAAAGAAGGATGGTTCTTGGCGTATGTGCGTTAATAGTAGAGCAATCAACAAGATTACTCTCAAGTATAAGTTCCCAATTCCTAGGCTTGATGACATGCTTGACATGATGACTGGAGCGACCATTTTTTTTAAGATCGATCCAAGGAATGACTATTATCAAATACGAATTAGGCCTAGTGATGAGTGGAAGCAACATTTAAGACAAAAGATGGCTTATATGAGTGGTTAGTTATGCCATTTGGACTAACCAATGCCCCTAGTATGATGACCCAGGTACTTTGATCCTTCATTGGTCATTTCCTAGTTGTTTATTTTGATGATATTCTTATATATAGCCATAGTCCAAAAGAGCATATTGATCATCTACGTCAAGTGATGAGAGTTTTACGCCAAGAGAAACTCTACATCAACTTAAAGAAATGCTCTTTCATGTCACCCAAAGTTTTATTTTTGGGGTTTGTTGTTTCTGCTAGGGTTGTTCGTGAGAAGGGCTAAACCGACCAAATCGGTCCGACTCGAATCGATATAGTTGGTTTTTAAAGTATATCGGTTCAGTTTCGGTTTATAAACATGCATAATCTGATTGGTCAGTTCGGTTTTGGTTTATGTATTTGTAAACCGAAAACAACCCGAACCGAACTGACTATAATTTAAAAAAGGCAAAATATTCAATTTCCAATGTTCAAAATTCTCAATTTTCCAATTTGTCCTGATTTCTAATTTCAAAAAAGGTTAGAATTTATATAAAAGTTTTATTTTCCAAAATTTCCTTCCTAGTTTCGAGAAAAGAAGCCATTATTCATTCAAAAGTTGTCTTTCACTCCTTTTGAGGATTGAGCATTAATAACCTGACAGAAAAGACCAGGAAACTCTTAAAAGTCTAAATTTCTAAGAAATAAAACAGTACAGTCTGAACTCTAAAAAGTTATTCAAACTGTATTTGTGAATATTACTTGGTTACCTTATCACAGAAAGAAGTCCATTT